GGGAGGGGAGGGAGGGGAGGGGAGGGGGCGGGCGGCCGGGGGGGGCCCCGAGCCCGGCGCTCACGCCGCGCGGCAGGAGGGGACGGAGGAGACACGGGAGCCGCTCGCGCTGATCACGGGGACAAACAGTGGGGTCATGTGAGGAGGAGATGCCGCCGCCGCCGCCGCTGCTTCTGCAGCCGCCGCTGCCGCCTCCGCCCGCCGGCCCGCCGGCTCCCGGCGGCTCTAGGCTCCGGGACGCAGCGCTGCCGCCCCCCGCCCGCTGCACGCGGCCCCTCCGGCCTCCTTCCCTGAGCAGCCGCCGCCGCAGACTTTTTTTTTTAACCCGGCCCGCCGTGGATGGCCGCCGCCTCTCCCCTGGATCGTCGGCTCGCGCGTCCGCCGCTCGGCCTGGCCCAGTCCGGCGGCGGATCGCTGCTGCAGCCGCTGCCGCTTTCTATTTTTTCCCCCTTTTTTTCCTTCTTTACTAGTTGCGCGCGCGCGGCGGCAGCGGCGCGAGCCCAGGACCGACGCGCGCGGGGGCAGCACAGCCCCCGGGGAGCGCGCGCGCTGTGTCTCCGACGGCGGGCGGGCGCGCGCGGGCCCGGGTCGCTGCAGGGCGCGGCGTCGCCGCCGTCACCTTCGCGGCAAGCCCGGCACCTGCCAACAAGCTGCCTGAGTGGAACGAGGGCCCCGATGGAACACCGAGGGACCTGGAGGAGGGGCTGTGGTCGCCAGGGACGAGGCAGATGCGGGGTTTGGAGACAGTAAAGTAGGTCGAGGGGGGGAGGGGTGCAGAGGGTAGACGGGGAGAGGAGCGCGCACGCGCTCTCCCGGTGGCTGAGTTGTGCGCGAAGGCGGAGGCTCGGGGCGCATGCGCACGCCTGGGCGGGGCCGCGGCGCGCACGCAGGGCCGGGCGGAGCTAGCGTTGGGGGACGCACTCCAGGCCGCGGCAGAGGGAGAAGGTAGAGCTTCTCTCCCGGAGGTCCCGGGAGCAAACTGGACACAAGGCCTTCTGCAGACACACACGCACGCAAGCACGCACCTACCTAGTAGCGGTCCAGGCTCCCTAGCTCGCTCAGCAAAATAAACGCTTCCCTCCAGACAGGCCTTGTGATCATAAATTTTATTAGACTTACGAAGGGGAGATAAATCAGTAGTTCCTCAAATTAAAAAAGTACAAAAGCTACATACAAAATGTGGGATCAGACGACTAAACTTTCCCGACTCAGGGCCAAGTTCTGCAAAGGAGAAAGAAAGGGGTGTGAGCTGGGGAGAACTGGAGGGAGAGAGCCCAGGTAGGTTTGAAGCCAGGAAGGGCTATTCACTCACCTTCTTCATCCTCCGCTCCCGTGAGGCCTGGGAGTCGGTCTCAGAGTAAGGGGGAGGTGCTGGAGGGTAATAGGCCTCCTCTTCGTCTTCATCTTTGTAAGGTCTTCTCCTCTCTGCTGGCTCCTTTCTCCTCAAGGCCTCTTCCAGTAGCCGCCCGTCATACTGGGGGTCCCCAGACCTGGAGCCATCCTCCCGAGGGTCCCGGGAACGGGGGTAGCGGGACCTAGAGTCAGCATGAGGGCGGTCTCTAGACCTGAAGTCTTCGTAGTGGGGATCCCGGGAGTGTGGAAAGTCCCTTGAGTTGTCTTGGTTGTAGAGGTCATCTCGGCTGCGGCTTCTGGGAGGTGCATAGGCCCGGCCTCTCCTCCCACTACTTGGGGGAGACCTCTCTGATTCAGCAGAACCCATCAGGGTGAGGTCATCCAGAGCGTCCACAGAGTGGGCCCGGGGCCGCCCAGCTCCCCAGCCACTCCCTGGCCGCTCTTGCTCCCACCTCCGAGGACTCCGGGGAGAGTGGCGACCCCATTCTTCATCTCGGATAGGGGTGAGGACAGGGCCTCGGGAAGGCCGGGATCTCCAGTCATCCTCATGGAGGGAGGTGACTTCACTCATGGCTGTAGGGGAAGGGGTGTCACTGCTGGGAGAAGGTCAGTAGCCCTGGGACCCAGCAGTGTCACCCATTTGGCTCATACACTCTAAAGGGGGGCCTCAGGCTTCCCGTCCATTAAGTGACGATATGCTGTACACTTCTCACTGTGACCACGGTAGGGAAGGAGGGACTAGGATTTGTAGCAAGCATCCCTGGGGCAGGTATCAGGGAGACATGCTTCCCCCTCCCTGCTCAGGAACCCCACAGATCCCAAGGCTCCTGCTCACCCCGCTCTACACGGCCATTGGGGAGGCCAGGTCGAGAAGGGTCAAAGTTGGCCAGCTCTTTCTCCATGTAGTACAGGACCCGCATGGAGTCGTCCTGCTGGCTGGCCTGAATCCTATAGCCACTGCGGACCTCTAGAAAAAGGAGATGTGATCAGTTTGGGAGGATGAATACTGACCCAGCCACCTCCCTTACAGACATGTCCAGTCTTATTAAATTGGTTCTCACCAGATGTAACGCTGCCGTCCATGTCACGAAGCAGGGGTACCTGGGAGCTGTGGCCACCAACTGTGGGAGATTAGCTATCAGTGGCTGCCCACCTAGAGCAAAGCCCTGCATTCCCAGTCCCCTCTCCCCTAGTCCCCTTTCTTCCAGCCCCAAACTATTGCCCCAGCTACTGCTGGCTTCACAGCCTTCACCTGAGCTATTCCTGTCGAAGTCTCCAGAGTACCCATTGTAGACAGGACCCATGGCGATCATGGCTGCTGGTGGTGGGGTTTTGGCAGGGGAGAGGTGAGCGTAGGTGCTGGGTGCGTAGATGCTTGGGACACCGGAGGTGGCTGCTTTGCCGGCAGTATACACTGGGGGAACGTGACAGTGTGAGAAAGAAACCAGGAACCATGTCACCCTTCAGTGTGACAGATGGTCTGGAGAGAAGAGCCTGGACCTTCTCCCCAGACCTCAGGGCTGTGGAGCTTCCCTAGGCACTTGGTTTCTGTAGGGTCCTGAGACGAGGGGCCATTAGGTTCAGTGGACCTATACCTCCTGTGCATTTCCTCACAGACATTTCAGGATGGGCTTGTACATTGACAGCCCACAGCCCCAATCTGGCAGGCCAGTATGTTGTTTTACCTAACTGTGTGATGGTTTGCCAAGTTTGTTAAGTTTTACATAAAATCCCAGCTCTCTGGTCACGTTCTCCGAAGAGGTGGCTACCCTGGGCTGTTTTGAGCAACAGGAGGCAAAGATGTCCCTTTAGATAAAGCCCACATGCTGGACCCACAAGCTGGAATCAAGCATTTTCTTTGGTGGCTGAGCCCCTGCTCTCAAAAATGAATAATTTGGGGGATCCCAAGCCTACTCCCCTCTCATGCCTACTAGTTCCTCCCCACAGGGTCTTCCATACTCAGATGCAATGGGAGTCAGTCTTAGGCAGGAATGTGGGGGCATCAGTTTACTTGAATTGGCCAAGCAGCCAACATCTCATGTTTCCAACTTGCAGGCTGCCCCCACTCCCACCCTGCCCTGCCTGCTTCTGTGCTTGACAGCTCAAGGGCAAATCCTCCCTGCTGCCTTGCTCCCCAGGCAAGAGGCTGGGTTCTAGTGGCTGCTCTTTGCAGCAAAGTCACTGGGCCTGAGCAAGATGCCTCCTCCCTGGGACCCAGACAGAAAAACAGGATGGGGGGGACAGGCTCAGAAAGGTCCTCCATCTCAGATTCAGTTTGGAAGCAGAAGGCTGGGTGCTCAGCACCCCCAGCAGAAGCCCCTTCGTAGCTCAGGTGATTTGGGGTTTTATAATTAGGCTGGGGAATTGCTTCCAGGCTCGGCAGGGTTGTGGCCGCAGCAAAAGTTATAGGGCCTCCAGCCAAGAGTTAATGGGGCCTTGGCTGGGGTAACTCAGGATGGAGGGAACGTGGCCTTGGGACAGGCATTTGCAGTCCTGGCCCCAGCCCCAGCCTTAATTAGTGAGATAACTACAAACCCAGTTGTAGTCTTTGGTAGGGGGAGGGTCCCTTCTGACCTGTGAAATGGGTAACACCCACACCTGAGTAAGAAACTGTCAACTAAAAACAAGGGGAGGTAGCCAGCATAAGCCTCTGGAGAGCAGTGGACTTTTTCCAGGGAAGCAATACTTTGAGGAACCAGGTTACTCACTGAATTCAGTGACCATAAAATTAGTATGGGTTGAGCCACAGCCCTGGGCTGGGCATTCACATACACACTCTTCTCTTAATGCTCACGAAACCCCATGGGGTTTGCCGAGAAGTGTTTCCTTGCAGAGAAGGAAACAGGCTCAGAGAGGGCATGCTGCTAATCTGAGGTCACATGGTATGGGTGGCAGGGCTCTGATTTGCTCCCTGGCCTTCAGTCATTACCGATGCTGACGGCAGTAATGTCCAGCAGCTAGCACATCTGGGTGCATTTTATGTAGGCCCAGCCCTGCAGTAAAAGCTGGACACATGAGGGGAAATCACTGAGCTTTCAAGCAGGTAAGGCATCAAGTTAGGCATCAAACCCCCACCTGCCCAAGCTTGCAACAGTCGCCTGTGATTTCACAATTAACACGGCTTGGACTGTACAGAGGTGCTGCAAACACACACTCCAGCAACCAGGGCACTGGCCATGCTGTCCTTCCCAAGGAGGGGAAATGGGGCAGTGGGACAAGGGAGACTCGCTGTTTCTTTTTCTTTCCCCTCCATCTCTGGTCTCATCTTCATTCCCAACCCTCCAGGGAACCACTTTGGTAGACACACTATCTATGTAAGATCCGGAACACTGGTGTGGATGCAGGTTTCCTTAATTTGCTTCATTTATGTGGTGCTATAAACCTTGTCTGGTTTCTTACCTTTTCCATTTAAGATTTTGCTTTTAAAGGGAGCTTTACTTTCTAATGAGTGATGCTTTGTACTATCTGAATTTTTTTTCTTTTAGCTTATGCACAGATTATACTTTCAAAAGAAAAAGCTCAAAATAAATGAAAATTAAAAACAAACGGAAAATTGAAGTATGTCAACGATAATCTAAAATAACAGATCCTTCTTGGCCCTTTCTCCCAAATTGCTCACCTCATAACCTCCAAACCAGGGGGCACTGACCTGGGTGGCAGGCAGATGGCCACCTCGTCCCCTTGGTACCAGGAGGGAGGCCAAGTGGCAGCGGTGGTGTGAGGAGCACTTACAGGCCTCTGGGCAGCAGCACTTGTCTGGGCAGCAGGGGCACCTGACGTAACAGCAGCAGGTATGGGGGCAACACTGACACCAGCAGATGCCCAGCAGGAGGAAGACAAGGAAGACAGCCAAGCAGACCACGACCACGAAGAGCCAGTCTGCGGAGAGATGAGAATAAGCCCTGAGCCAGGAGGCCTGGGAGGCGGGAGGGACACAGGTACAGAATGGCAGGGCAGGGGAGGGGTGGGAGAAGCTATTTGCAAAGCTTGTCTGGGAAGCTGCAGCCTTGCTGGATTCCCTGAGGCTGGGGCACATGAGAGGAGGGATACCCGGGCCAGTCCGGAGTTTAGGAACCCACCCTGGGCTCATGATGGCAAGGCAGAAAGCGAGGCAGCCAGGCTAGAGCAGGTCAGGAAGTAGCCTCAGAGGAGCCAGAGTGCCAGCTGCCCAGATCCCAACCCCCAGAAAAGCACTACAGGCACCAGTCACAGGAGCCCCCTGCCTGCACCCCAGGCCTCTCCTCAGCCAGCCCAGCCCCCGAAAGCCCAGGGCCAGGTCACTAGACACCACGGAGTTGGAGATAGGCAGGGTTAGTGGGGGTCCACAGTGAGCAGTGTTTAGGGTAGAGAGGACACTCAGAAGCAATAAATGGGGGGGGGGGGGACTCTACCCCATACCTTCCATGGGCCCCGCCTGAAAATCAGGTAAGAGCTCAGCCACCCCCTCGGTCCTGCCTGGAGGGACAAAAGAGAGACAGATTATGCTGGCAAGGGCCAGCCCAGGCCTCCTCAAGCCTGAAGCCCAACTCCAGGCTCATCAGGGTGAAGGTGTGCTCTGCAGCAGGGGAGGGGTTGGCAGCCTAGGAGGGTCCTAGCACATGGCTCCTGTCCTCCAGTGCACCCCCCTCATGTGGCTGCTCCCCTCACAGAATCACCCAGTCCCTCATGCCATGGGAGATGCTGTTGCCCAGAGGGGTTCAAGAACACATCCCACGGGTTCTGAAGGTTTGACCTCAGTGTGGACACTCCATCTTTTCTGCAAACAGAGGTCCTGTCACCTCAGAGGGCTGCATCCCATGTGATAGGGACAGTCCTGTTCCACCAGGCATAGTAGGCACAGTGCCCTAGGCCCCATGAAAATGTTTTTATTTTTAAATCTGAAGAAAAATTTTAATAGTACCAAATATATAATAAGGAACTGTCTTTATAGCAACTCAGTCAAAACATACAATTTCTTTTTAAAACGGAAGAAGAGGCCCACCAGGCAAAAGTGCCAACAGCCCATACAAGTCAAAACGGCCCTGGTTTTGGCCCACAGGAGTGCCACCTGGGTTCATGCATTGTCCCTTGGGCAAGTTTCATGGCCCAGCCACCTTCCCTTTAGTGCCACTGATTGCTCTGTGTCCCACAAGTGTTGTGCAGCCAGGGCACCAATACACCAGGCAGTACGCCAACACAGCTCATGCACTGAGCCACATGTCCCTGTGACAGTTTCAACCAGCTGTACTCAAAGTGTGTCCACAAGGCCAAAACCACTTCCATAATAACACCAACCCATCACTTTCCTTTTTTGCTCTTGTTCTCTTGCGAGTGTACAGGGGAGTTTTCCAGAGGGACTGTGACACATAATGACATCACTGCCCTGATGGTAAAGCAGTGTGTGCTTGTGGACCTTGTGTTTTACTGGTTTTGATTTTTGACATGTTAAGCAACTGTAGATAAAACCCACAGAAACTTCAACAAAAACTGAGATCCTTAATATTAAGAGTAGAAGTGAGTTCTGAGACTCAATTTTGAGAAACGCCAGTGTATACTGGGTCTTTTACCAAATAAGAGTTCTCTAGGTCAACAGCGCATGCTTGCCATCACCCACACATGAACTTGGTCACATGATCTGAGCTCCCTGAAGCTTGCCCCCATCATGTGTACTCATTTACACGTGTTTCCTTGCATCATACATGTGATAATGGCAATGTATGCCTAGCAGTGTCCCACATATAGCACATGCCACATGAGACTGTGTGTTAGCTAAGAATTGAGCATCTGGCTAATAGCATCCCTTCCACACATGGCAGGGGGCCTCACACCTGGACAGGGCCTCCTGGTGGATATCCCACCCCACTGGGCATGTTGGAGGCAGCCTCACTTGAAGGAAGCACTTGCTGTGGAAGCCACACAGTGCGACCCCTGCAGAGGGCAAGACTCCTGTGCTTCGCAAGGGCCTCCCAGGTGAGATGTGGCTCTGGGGATGTGGCAGAAGGTGGGTCGAGCTTCCTTGCAATTAAACACACTGTCACCCCTCCTCACTCATTGCCAATCAACGCTGGCCATTTCTATATTAAAAAAAAAAACAAGACTGGGGAGAGGTTGAGTCCCTGCTCTCTCCACTCTCAGACTGGCTTATTTGAAATGTTGCAGGGGAGGGGTCCCTGCCTGGGGTGCAGGGCACAGACAAGCCCAAGTGACTGACGGTGCTGTGAGGGGAGAGCAAAGCAGGCGACAGAGAGTGAGCTGGAGGGCAGAGGACAGACATGCAGGAATGGCTGAAGAGGTCCCCTTCCCGGGCCCTCAGGGTCCAGCCCATACTCACCCAGGACGATGAGCTCTGCATAGGCCTCGTTGTTTCCCTGGAGGTCTTGGGCTGAGACCACGGAGCAGTAATACACACCACTGTCCCCCCAGGCTGTCTGGTCAAAGGTCAGGTCAGCATCTGGTCAGGAGGAGCCGTGTGAGAGCGCCATGGGGGAGGAGGTGCCTTATGTGGGCAGGGCTGGAGCCTCCCCGATGGGCATATTAGGAGGGGCAAGGCCTGCAGATGGACCAAGTAAATGGGAAATAATTCCTACCCAGGGCATGCTTCCTTTCAGGCTGTGTTCTAAACACTTAACGTGGGGTATTCGAAGAAGTCTGTGAGGTGGCTACTGTTACCTCTCCTGTTTTGTGGATGAGAAAAGAGGTCGGGCGAGATGACCTAATCAGTCCAAAGCTGTACCGCACCTCGGTGGCGGAGCTGGGGCAGTCTGACTTATAGCCATGCTCCGTACCACCTCTTGAAGCAAAAGCATAATTCTCCTGACATGACCCACCAGGGATCCTAATATAGATTGAGAGGCACAACCCGGATAAGGAAGCAGAGATAAACAGGCCAGATTGCAGGACTCAGGAGCCGCCTTGGGCCTGAGAAACAGTGGGGGTGTGAGTGAGAGCGATAGGACTGTCCCAGTTCGCTAGTCCATCTGCCCACCATCAGCCCCCACATTCCAGGTCAGAGCCAGGGCTTGGGGACTCCGAATTAGAAGCAGCCTTGGGCAAACAGCCTGTTAATTATGCCAGTAATAAAGTCTTTCAGTACATCCGGTTTCCTCTCTACTCCTCAGGCCCTGATTAGTTAAATCCCTTCAGCCATTCACCAGTGCCAACAGGGTGGGACCCAAGGGGAACTCCGCCTTTGGCAGATAGGAGGCAGGAACCGGCCAGAGAGGATCACCCCCACCTCCCCCCTTGCCCTGCACACCACTGCTCTTCTCCAGGACAGCTCTGAGGGCGGCTATCTGTGTGTGCGCCCCAGGCTGCAGCACCTGGCTCCCACCAGGCAGCAGGCCATTGCTGAAGGAATGAAAGAGCCAGAGCCTTCTTCCTTCAGAAGACCTCGCATCCTGTCCAGTTATCCACACCATTCCCAAGGCCTCATCCTGCTCCCAAGGCCCTGGGCACACAGCCTCAGCCCCACTGTTCTCCTTTGCTCCCTAGACTCCGGACACACAGGCCTCCTCACTGTCCCCCAGCATGCTGGGCACACACCTACCATGTGTTCATGCTCTTCCCTCTGCCTGGCGTGGGTTCTCAGCCCCTCATGGGGCTGATTCCATCCAGTTCCCACAGTTCCCCTGCCTGCCTGCAGGACTTTACCTGCCGGCTTAGGGACTGACCGTCCATGATCCCATTCACAGAAGAATGTGGGCTCCATGCCAGCAGGACTCAGTCTGTCCTGGTCACTGCACGGGGCCTGGCCATGAACCCCTTCCCTCCTCATGCTGACCTTCTTTAGCTTCTGTTGTCTATTCCAGTGTTCTGGGCACACACCTACATTTAAATAGGCACTTGATAACATTCATTCAGTATTCAACACCTAATTACTGAATGCACCTTATGTTCCCGGCAGTATCTGAGGCACCTGGTATACTAGAGAGCAGCAGTTCTTGATGTGTGATCCCTGAACCCTGGTGTTCTGGACACCTTTACAGAGGATCACTGAGGTCAAAATTGTTTCCATAATACTAAGATGTTCTCTTTTTTCACTTACTCTCTCAGGAGGGTACTACAGCGTTTTCCAGAGGCTACATGACATGTGCCATCACGATACACTAAATGCAGCAGCAGCTCTGAGAATCCAGCTTCTATTCAGCCAGACTTCAAGGAGATGTGCAAAAATATAAAGCAATGCCACACTTTCATTGAAGTCTTTTAAGAAATATGGTTATTTTTTTATGAAAAAGCATGCTATTTCTTGTAACCTATGTTTATTATTGTCATTTAAATCATTTTTTAAACTTCTCTCCCTTTGCTAGCTATAAAAACAAAGTTCTTTGAAGACCTCAGTAATTGTGCAAAGACACCCTAAGACCAACATGTTTGCGAACCACTGCTACAAAAAGCAGATGTAAATCCCTGCCCTTGTGGAGCTCAGATCCTAACTGGGAAAAAGAGACAAATAAAAAACCTAAAATTTTATTGCATATCATTTGGCGGTAAGGAGTATGGAGAAAACCTATCAGTGAAAACAGACAGGAAGTGGGGGACTCTATGCGAATTTGAGTGGAGTGACCAGGAAAGGCCTCCAGGTAAGGTAACCTGGGGAAGTGAAGGCCACGTCCCCTCCACGGTCAAGCACACAGCCACTGGCTACTGAGTTCTTACTATATGCTGGTCCCTTTGTGCATATTTTCACAGAGTCCTCATAAAACTCCCAAGCACAAAATCCCCGGATTCTCCATAACACTCTCTTCGCCCATCATTTTTCCACCTGTGTCTTTAAATTAGGCTCTGACCACACTTCCCCATAACCGGAACTCTGGGCAGATCCCTGCCCAAATCCCATGCGACAGCAAGTTCACAGGCCTGGTGTTGAAATCTGGCTCCTGTGGGCTGGATCACGGCCTCAATGCGTTTTGTTTAGCTTGCGTGATGTTTTCAAAGCCATGAAAAAATATGGCTTTCCGGCTTCTTTTGATCAATTCTAAGGCCTGGGCCCACCTCCTTCCTGCAGGCACACCCTGTCCCTGGCCTATGTCTGGTCCTGACACCACTCAGCACCCCTCGTGACCTTATACATACCCTGGGTTCTCTGGTCCAGTGCTGCTTAGTGGGGAATACGGAGACCCCAAGTGCCCAAGGAGGAAGAAACAGGGTTCCTGTCCAGGTGCCTCACATCAGGGATGAATGGAGGGGGGCAGGACCCACCCTGAGCTGAGGGACACCGAGGTGAACAACCATTACTGTATGCCCAGGCCTACTTTCACTTAAACCTGATGGTTGGTGACTCCAGAACCCAAGAAAGTCCACTTTTCTCCCTCCTCAAAGCTGGACTGGAGGAAGCTCCCATGGTGCCAGGGCTTCCTGAGAGGACACACACACAATGGAAACTTACAAACCATGGCCTATATCAAAAACAAACCTAACTTAAGGCATTTTGAAAGACCCCGGCCTGTGGGGCCTTGAGGCATAAAGACTCTGCCCCAGATAACAGCCTGAGGGTCACTCTGGAGTTCTGAGTCTCAGCAGAGGAGCCACAATTCCAGCCAGCCTTCAAGGGCACTCAGCATTTGAGTGGTCCTGACAGGGCTGCTGGAGAGATCCCTGTGTTATTGGGAAGGGGCCCACACAGTTTGAACCCCCAAAAAGCTCTCTTATTTCAAAAACAGCAGGATGCTTCGGGCTGAGCAGCCCATGGAAATTCAAAGCGAGCAGATCCTGGTTCCTCCCTGAAACAGGACTGACAGGCTGGGTCCCTGGAAGCTTGCCTTTGGTCCAAGGTCTACACAGACTGGGGAGAGGAGTGTGCTCCATGGCCTGGTCTCTTGGGGTCTGCAAAGGGATGCTCCCCAACCCCCCATCCCCTGCTGTCCCCATGGATTAAAACTAATCCTTGTTTAAAACAGTGAAAGGATAAATCCATTAAATGAGTGAGCCTTCATCCCCTGCCCACTGCCATCCATCACCTTCCTGCCTGCCATCTGGATTCTTTAGGGCCCAGTCCCTCCTTAAATCACATTCACAAAGGTCTTAAGGTGTGTGCCCCAAGTCCATCCCTACAGCACATCACCTAGGCCTGCTTTGTAGCACTTCCACTTTGAGATTCTAACTTTATATATCTGCTTATTTACTGCCTGTCTCACCCCACTAGAATGTCACCACCTTGAGGGCAGGGACCTTGCTGTCTTGATCACCGCTCCATCCCTGGTACCTACAACAGTGCCTCATGCTTAGGAGGCTCAATAAATAGTTAAAGAATGGATGGATGAATGAACAGCTAGCTCCCCGACACCGCTTACTTAGTCCCAACTGGCACCTCCCATCAGCAGGCAGCATTATGGTTAAGGACTAGGGCTCTCAGGGCTGCCTGAGTTTAAACCCCAACCCCGTACTAGCTGTGCACCTAAGATGAGCTACTTAATCCCTCTGTGCCTCAGCTGTTCAGAGTGTAAAATATAGTTGTAAGGACTTACTGGGGTAATGTGTGTACAGCGCCTTCTAAATCATAGGCTTTTGCCACATTACAATCTCCTCCCCCTTCAGTTCACTCATGTTACCTCCTCGGTAAGCCCTTTGCTGACCACCCTAGGGTTACAAGTTTAGAAACTAGACCCACAGTGGCTGACTTAGAATCCCAGCTCTGTTACCAGCTCTGTGACCCTAGGCAAGTCATTCTACCTTTCTGGGTCTCAGTAAAATAAAAATAGAATTTACCCACACAATCTGTGTCATCTAAATGAGTTACTTCATATAAACCTGGATTGGAGCCTGGCACACAGGAAGCCCTTTATACTTATTTTTACTTATTGTTGCTGGTATTATTAGTATATGCAGAATCCCCGCCTCTTTTTTCATTACCCAATTTCTTTATCTTCCAGCACTGGACAGCATGTGTTACGTTTATCTTATTTGTCTCCCTCACTGGAATTCGAGTCCTGTGAGAGAACGGATTTGATTTTGTTTACTGCTGTATTTTTGGAGCCTCAATACTGCCCCTGGTACATGTTAGGTGCTCACTAAATCTTTCCTGTTAAAGGAATGGATGAATGGATAGAAGAAAGGACCCTTCTCTTCATCAGTCCTTCCCGCACTGGTGCTCAAGAGAGCTTCCAGATGCCAACTCCAGGCTGGCACAAGGGAGCCAGCGCCACCACCCCTGTGAGCCTAGTCCCATCCTCCACCTTGTCCCCCGCCCCACCCCCACCCCCGCATACTTCCTGTGATGGTGATCCTCCGGCCCTGGTAGTAGTCTCCCAAGGTCACAGCATTGCCTTGCTTGGTGGCCACAACCCTGACGGTGCGCACGCTGTCCTGGCACTCCACATAGGGGTTGTAGCCTGGGTTCCCAGCCGCCAGCTGGGCATTGAGCTGGTTGTCGACGCTGGCTGGGGAGAAGGCATCAGCAATGCGATCACGGCAGAAAGACTTATACTTCCAGATCACGATGGGTGCTGTGGGGGTCGTGGTAAGCTGGTAGGTGCATGGGAGGGTCACTGGCTGGAATAGGATCACCACATGGTAGGGGTCTGACACAGTCACCTGGATGGCACTGGTAGGGGCTGAGGGCAAGAGGAAAGTCAGCAGGGACTGTTATGAGCCCAGGAAAGTACTTCAGCAGAAATGAGCAACATCATTTGTCACCAGCTTGACACTTAAAAAAGTGAGCGGTCCTAAAGAGCATCTGGTACACACGGTTTTTTAATCCCCAGGGCCAGTGAGTATAGCTCTCATAATCATGCCTATTTTATAGATCCATGGGGCTTAAGTATGAAGTGCAAGGTCCCACGGCCATATTCCTTGGAACACCTGTCTGCCCCTCTTCCCCGAGTGTGGCCTCCAAACCACCCCAGCGCCCTCTGTCCTTGGCCATTCTTTGGTGGCGAGGGCCCCTCTCTGTGGCCTTGTACGGGTAAGCCCAAACGGCCACTGCAGGTCCCACTTCAAAAGCCATCACCAAAGCTCCTAAGTTACCCAGGGGCTTTGTGAATTTTGGAGTTGGCTGACTTAACTGCTTTGCCATGGAGTAGCTAAGCCCCCAAAAGTCTTCATTAGCCTCCCACCTCATCCTACCCAAAGCCATTTTAAATGGACATGTCAAAGTGCTTGCAGAAAAATTAAGTCTTCCCTGTACCCGGCCAACAGCCGATCCAGGTACAAACTTGCCAGCAGGTTCGAAACCAAGTCCGTAAGTCCATCCCACCAAATTCTTCCGCACAGATACTTCGAAGCCCGCGGGATATGGGTGGGGTTTGAGGGGTGGGGAGTCCCCAATCTCGCACTCACCCGAGGCCTGGACGTTGCTCCCTTCTCTCTCCCTCGAGGAAGCCCTCAAAGGCCCTCTCTTCGTCACCCCAAAACTTAGAAATCTTGGGGATGCGCCCAAGTCCCCATCCCAGCCTTTCCCAGTGATTCGATGGTTCTGCACCCCTACCCCACAAAGGATCCCATTCTCCTAACCGCTCCAGGGTTCGCGGAGCAGGAGTTCCACTTCCTGCTATCTCTTAACAAGGGCGGGGGAGCGCTCCCCTACACCGGGGGATTCCCCCGCCGCCCCCAGTCTGGCACACAGGAATCTGGAGACCCTGGGGCACTAAGGAGGTCCTAGGCTCTGAGCTCCCCCTCCCCCAGCTCTCCTTCCTCGGCGGTGTAGAACTCCGCCCATCCTCCCCTTCTATAGCGCCCTCCCGACGTTCCGCAGCACCAGGGACCATGCTCTCCTTACCTGTACACGAAGTGCTAAGAAAGAGCCACACGAAGACGACCGCACCCCAGGCGGGGGTGGCCGGGTAGGAGCCCAGGGCCCCAGACAGCCCACGGGCGACCAGCGCCATAGAGGCCGTCTGGGAGCGCCGAGCCCGCGCGTCCCCTCCTAGGTGTCGGGAGAGTAGGGGGCGCGGCGCACACCAAGGCTGGGAGGGGCGCTTGCTCCGCCCCTTCCCGCTTCCGTTCCTTGTCCCTATTTTAAACTCCACTGCCCAGTTTTAGGGCTTTAGTGAGCGGAAACAACGTGGGTGAAGAGCACGCTTCCAGGTTTCAGGGAGAAGCTTGCTTGACCCCCCTATGGTTCCCCGAGCTATCCCACCCCCTGCAAGCTCTGGGTAATGGATCGGCCCAGGTACCGAGGGTGAGAACCCAGGGCTGGGCCTGGGGGCGGTGGGAGGCGGGGAGGGGCTCCTCCACCTCCCTCCCCGGAAGTGGGTTGACCCAGGTGAGCTCCGGCCCCGAGGGTCGGAACCAAGTGACCAGCCCGCAGGGAGGGCGCCTTCAGACCAGGGATCAGGTCCTGTCCCTTCCTGCTCGGCCCAAGCCGAGCAGAGTGTGACTCACGAGAACCGAGACTCAGTTGGAGTGATTCACCTGTTGAAGGGGCGGGTCCTGCCGGGCACCTGTTCCCTCTCTACCCACACCCCTCTTGCCGGTTGGCGATGGACCAGGCTAGGTACACCCTGTGGGGATAGGCCAGTCTCAGCGGGCTTCGGACTGGGAGAGGCCGGTGGAGGGCGTTGACTTTTCCATTAGCTCGGGGGTTCCTCCTGTCTGGGGGGACAGAGGCGCTGTGGGCTTTTTGTGTCTCCCACTTTGATGATTTAAAGAACCAAGTGAAGTTCACGGAAAGGAAGAACCCCTTAGGGACGCCTGAGGGGAATCCGGCCCCGGAAAAGTTGAGATTCTACTTTGGAAGTTTTCTCCACTTCCCCCCCCCCCACCCCGCCCCCATTCCCAGCTCGTGGTTCGGCCCCCGGGCACCCCTCGCCCCAGGTCAGGCCTCCGGAAACTGGCTCTTAAAGGGGCCGAGCGGAAACGCGGGAGTAGGACGGGCTTCCGCCAAAAGTTTCCCAAGGACTGGGCCACCTGCGTCCTAGGGCGGGGCGGAGCGAGGCGAGGCAGCTGGATGGCGGGGAGCTCAGCGCAGCTCTGCTGCCTCCCGAAGGCGCCTTTGCGTAGCGCTGTCTGGAGAACCCTAGGCGCTTCCTCGACGACCGAGAGGCTCCCTGGCCTAAACTGGCCACTGTCCAGGTACCCAGGAATGTTTGGTTCGATAGTATCCTGTTAAAACTCAAGTCAGATCACTCAAAACCTTCCTGTGGCTCCCATTCTTAGCAGAAACCAAAATATTTACAGTGGCCTGATCCCTCTGACCACCTTCCGTGTCCCCCCTGGCATTCTCAACGTCAGCCACACTGGCCTCCTCGCTGCTCTAGAACGTGCCCCTCACACTCCCACCTCTCACCCACTGCCGTTACTATTCCCTCTCCGGAACAGCTTTCCAGCAGCTGGAAAATGTCTTCCGCCTCCTTTAGGGCATTACTTAAAGGTCACCTTTGCAATGGCACCTTCCCTGGCCACTTCTGTTAAATTTTAACCCTTTCACGTTCCTCCTCCACTTCACTTTTTATTGTGGTAAAATACACATTCCATAATATTACTTTAACCATTTGTAAGTGCATTTCAGTGTCAATAATTACATTCACAATGTGTGTACTCCTCAAGTATCTATACCTTAACCTTTTTCATCATCCCCAACGTAAACTCCGCACCAATTAAAAAATAGCTCCCCATTCCCATCTGACCCCAGCCCATGGTCACCTGCACTGTATTTTCTTTCTTTGTGAATTGTGTATTCTAGGTGCCTCATATAAGTGGGGTCATATGAGATTTGTCCTTCTGTGTCTGGCTTATTCACTAAGCATAATGTTTTCAAAGTCCATTCAATAAATAAAATTTTCATTCCTTTTTATGGCTCAATAGTATTTCACTGTATGTGTATACCACATCTTGTGTATCTACTTATCTGTTGTTAGACACTTGGTTGTTTCCACCTTTTGGTTACTGTAAATAACTCTGCTATGAACACTGGTGTACAGATATCTGCATTAAATTCTTTTGAAATTGCTAGGTCCTATGGCAATTCTATTTTTAATCTTAAAGATCTGTTTTCTACATAGGCTCCACCTTTTACATTCCCACTGGGTTCCAGTCTCTTCACATCCTCACCAGCACTTGTCATCCCCCCGCCCACCTTTTTTTTTATTATAGCCGTCCAAGTTGATGCGAAGTAGCATCGCATCGTGGGTTTGATTTGCATTTCCGTAATGCTAATGATGTTGAGCATCTTTTCATGGGCTTATTGCCCATTTGTGTATCTTCTTTGGAGAAATGTCTATTCAAATATTTTTTAATTGGGTTGTTTGGGTTTCTGTTGTCAAATCGTAGTTCTCTTCATATTCTGAATATTAATCACTTGTCAGATACATAATCTGCAAATGTTTTTCCCATTCTGTAGGTTGTCTTTTCACTTTCTTGATAGTGTCTTTTGATGTACAAAAGCTCTTAATTTGATAAAGTTCAATTTAGCTATCTCTTCTTTTGTTGCCTTTGCTTTTGGTGTCATATTTATGAAATCATTGCCAAAGCCAAGGTCATAAAGATTTTCCCCAATATTTCCTTCTATGAGTTTTATAATTTTAGCTCTCAAGTTAGGTCTTGGACCAATTCTGAGTCAACTTTTTTGTATATGGTATAAGGTAAGGGCCCAACATCATTCTTTTCCATGTGGTTCCGGTTTTCTCATCACCATTCATTGAAGTGACTGTCCTTTACCCATTGAATGATCTTGGCACCTTTGTCAAAAATCAATTGGCCATATATATGAGGGTTTTTTCTGGGTTCTCAATTCTATTCCATTGGTCTATATATCTGCCCTTATGACAGTACCATACTGTTTTGATTACTGTAGCTTTGAGTAAGTTTTGTAGTTGGGGAGTATGAGTCCTTCAACTTCATTCTTCCTTTTCAAGGTTGTTTTTGCTATTCAGGGTTCAGTGCAATTCTATATGAATTTGAAGATTTGCTTTCATTTCTTTGAAAAAAGGCTGTTGGGATTTTGCTAGGCATTGCATTGACTCTTTATACCACTTTGGGTGATAAAATATTGACATCTTAACAAAGTTAAGTCATCCTGTCCATGAATATGGAATGTCTTTCCATTTATTTAGATACTCTTTAATCTCTTTTAGCAATATTTTGTAGTTTCAGCATACAAGTCTTTCACCTCCTTAGTTAGATTTATTGTAAGTGGAATTTACAGGGAGAATTTTCTTAATTTCCTCTTCATATTGTTCAATGCTGCTGTATAGAAACACAACTGATTTTTGTGTGTTGATCTTGTACCCTGCAAGTTTGCTGAATTCGTTTATTAGTTCTAGTGGCTTTCTTGTAGATTTTTTTATATATAGGATCATGTCATCAGTGAATGAGGATAGTTTTACCTTTTCCTTTACAATTTAGATGCCTTTTACTTCTTTTTCTTGTCTGATTATGGTGGGTAGGACTTCCAAAACAATGTTGAATTACAACAGTGAAAGTAGGCATCCTTGTCTTGTTTCTGACCTTAGGAGGGAAGTACTCAATCTTTCACCATTGAGTATGAAGTTAGCTGTGGGTTTTCCATAATACCTTTTATCAGGTTGAGGAATTTTACCTTTATTATTGGTTTTCTGAAGGTTTTTTCATAAAAGAATGTTGGATTTTGTCAAATGCCAACTTCATCAATTGAGATAATCCTGTGGTTATTTACCAAATTTTTAATCAAATTGGGAGGTTTTTGGCCATTGTTTCTTTAAATGTTTAGTTCTTTCTGTGGCTTTCTCTGTTCCTCTTCTAGGACTCCAACATTATGTATGTTGGTCCTTCAGGCTCTCTTCACTTTTCTTCAGTCTTTTTTCCTTCTGTTCCTCAGACTCAGTACTTTCAATTGTCCTGTCCTCGAGTTTACTGATTCTATCTTCTGCTGGCTCACATCTGTTTTTGAGCTCCTCTACTGAGTTTTTCATTTCAGTAATCGTATTTTTTTTTTTACCTCCAAGATTTCTTTTTTGGTTCCTTTTTATGTTTTCTACCACCTTATTGATATTCTCATTGTGTTCACAACATCATTTTCCTATTTTTCTCCATGTCTTCTATGGCTTTTTAAGCATTTTAAGACTGTTGTTCAAGTCTTTGTCTAGTATGTCTGCCACCCAGGTTTCCTCAAGGATGTTTTCTCCTTTAATGGGCCACACTTTCCTATTTCTTTATGCCTTGTGATATTTTGTTGAAGAGATGTTTGAATCTTATAATCTAACTCCGGAAATCATATTTCCTTCCTTCCCCAGGATTTGCTGTCTTTTGGTGTTTTAAACATTTGTTGTTTGTTGTTGTTATGACAGGGTGTCCCTGTGCTAGAGATCAGCCTGAGATAGAAAATTAAGGTCATCTCATGTCTTTTCTGAACTTGCATCTTTCCATGGGCTAATGCAATGATTTTCTACATTCTCCTGTATTATGTACTATCAGTTGCTTTTGAATACTGTACTCCCTAAATGTCTGACTCCCAAAGGGGGAAAAGGGGAGAAAACCCAAAGTCTTTCCCTTGAAATTTCCTGGAATCCACTTCATCCAGTGGTGGCTAAACAATGGTGGCCTGCCTGTGATCTGCTTTTGCAATCAGAAGCAGTAATCTGCAGTGAGAACACAGAACCCTGGTATATAAATGGCAAGATCTTTATTGCCCATTCCCAAATAATAACACTGGTTGAATACTTTATGTACATTATTTCATCAAATCCTCATAAGAATCCTGTGTGGCCAGTGCCATTCACATTCCTATTTTGAAAATGAAGAAACTGGTTCAGAGAAAAAGCCATTTGACAAGGCCTCCATTTCAGGAAGAGGCTTCATTGTAGTTCCTCAAGTATGTAAGAAAAAGAAAGCAGGCCCTTTTATCTGGGAGCTGACCTGACACTAATAACTGGGTGTTAGTTTTGCGGGTAGGAGCTGGCCTAGAACTTATAACTAGGTCATGGTATTCTCCTGTTGAACACAAACAATTCCCAGAACACCAACATCATACAAGGCCTCTGGGTAACTGATGGATGAAGACAAAGATGAGAGCACTCATGTCTGAACACAGACCAACAGGAACATTGCCCAA